GAACGTAAATCAGGTGAATGAAGTAATGGTAGAACTTGGAGGATTTTTTGTGAAAATGTCTCGAGAGACTAATACAGTGCGATAAGGTTCATTATAATGATCAAACGTACTAAGAATTGTCTACATTCTCTATAATTCTGAAGAATATCTTTAGGGAAACGATCCATAGCATTCCTATAATAATACTCCTTGTTAAGAGTTTGTCACACAAAAATCACTCACAAATGTGAAATTCATACTGCATCCTAGGAACATAGTCGAAGAAAACTTCATTTTCCTAATTGTATCTTACACTTGCGGTACAAGGTATACCATGTTTGTGTGAAAGGTGCGGTATCACTTAGCATGGTTTAAGATGGACACGCTTAATATTATACCGATCAACCCTTGTCTGTCCGTCTGAAATCTGCCCAAATATTTTGTGTTCAACCTACAAGTCGCAATTTTTAAGATATTTTGATGAAATTTGATACAAGGAAGAACACAGTCGAAAATGATTCAGATCGGTCCACTTTTTCGACCACTCCCCATATAAGGCCTTATTTTGAAAAGTCGATATATGGAAAAAATTGCAATTCTCAGTTATCTTTCGACAAAACGCGCTGTTCAACATGCTAAATCGATGTGAAAAATATGGTTCGGCTGGAGCGATTTTTTGAAGCCCCTCTCATATAACCGTTCCTACGAAAACTAAACCTTTACATTCTAAAAAGGGCTAATTTTCTATATACCATAGTGAAAATTGGTTTGTAATAGTAAATTGGGAAAGAAATCAACCTTAACAAATTTGGACCATATATGTCTATTTTTTAGATACCCTCGCATCATATAATCATTTTCGGGAAATGTAAGCCCTTATATGTCAAAATTTATTCATGATACGTAATTTGACATAAAAATGAAGTGGAGCCCATTTAAACCACATAGATTTATTTCTTGGTTCCCATCCCTTACGAGATTTCTCATGAATAGTGAGCGGCGTTGACAAAAAGGTTCCATTTTTAATATTTTTTTTTGATGCAAAGCATAGCGATTTACTAAAGACATTATGAATAGTGAATTTGGATCACAAAAGTCTATTTTTTAGACCCCAACACAAGGAGAGTGCATTATAAAAAGTACGACCTTATGTGGAGAGAAAAGTCTAATTTCTAGCTTCTTATGATTTATACTCCAATACGCGGGCTTTCATGGAAAGTTTGCCTTTGCATGAAAATAATATGTAGGCGAAATGGTGTTTAGGTTTCTAATGATCTCATGATCTTTGCCCGAATAAAATTCGTTCGTATCTGTGTTTGATTGCTGTAATACAAGTAATTTATCTAAAAACATTTTTGCATGATTCGAGTCTCAATTTTAAAAATTCTAACAAGTAATCATAAACGAACGGATAGAATTAATTCTATTTAGAGTCTGATAATCTGATAATGATCACTAGCGGGGAATCTGTCATCTGCTTTCCCAGCTGTTACAAAGAGAAGGATAAAATTAGTATAGACCGATGTTGAACGCATTTATTTTGCGGTTAAAAGAAAGATCACTTCGTGACATCTTGTTATACTCCAATTCATTGTTGAAATGAACCGAAAGATTTCTTCCAGTTATCTGCTAATTGGCAAGAGAACTGATAAAAATAATCATATAGTTGGTAAAGCGAAGCAAGAAAAATTTTCAGAATATATTTATACGAAAAAGTGCTTACTGTAAAAAAACAAGTAGAAATACTACACTCGGACATGATCCATCATAAAATATCCTACACCATTTTACAGTTATTCAAATAAGAATATAGACGTTCCATGGAAAATGGGCGATAAAGTAATCCTATCCAAATCATGCGTCGCTGGGCGAAAACACGTTGAATACAATAAAAGATGACCGACAGAGGGACAGACAAACTCGGCACATATGAAACGTGGGTCAATCTCAAGTCTTTCTGGGAATTGCATACATCTGCAGAAACTTTACAACTTTACCTTCTACCACAATTGGTATGGGGGGAAGTAAAAACCAGGTTGACCGATTTTGAATCTACAGATCTAAGTAATTACCAGACCTTTTTAATAATACATTTTGTGCTTATCTCTGTATCCTTGCTAAAATAATCTTATGTCCCATTCGAAGCAGCAAAAAAAAAAATCAATCATAACAATCTAAGCAAACTATAGGTTAATGAAACCGAAATAATTTATACTTAAGTTAAAAGTGTCTGTTAAACAGTCTGTCTATTAGTGAACTGAAAGTTTATTTTAACATATTGAAAGGGGCCCTAACGGCAGCGAAATGCATCTATAAGGCTATAATAGATCACGAATTACAAAATGTCCTTTCAATTTCCTTTCCGTTTTCCGGGATATTATAATATTTGAAGACCTCAACAAACTGTCATGTGTTTAGTTTTCTAATCTGCTCATTTTTATCTCTTTCGACTTTGAAGTTGATCGCATTAAAAGATTCCAACTAAAGCGATTTACTACCTTGCGCACGCAAGAAATACCTGGTCTCATCTATCCTATATAAGGGATACCTAAAACAAATAATAAGCAGTGCAAGCATACAGTGATCGGATATGGAAAAAGACATGGGGTGGGGTTTCTGTCTAATCGGAAAAGATTTTATAATTCTCCCCGTTTAACCGCTAATTAGATCATTTATTCCATCATACATGATGCAATAAGAAAAATTCCCCTCACCTGGATTCCTTTCAAATCTGATAAAAATTTTCTTTATGGCATGCATTTTCTTTCTTGCGAATAATAAACAATAAATATATTCACATTTATATGAGTTTTCCATTACGTTTTTATTTTCGTTCGTTTCGTTTACGCGCAGTCGATGATAGATTTTTGCACATATTTCTATTCACATATCATAGAGCGATCGTATCGCCAAGTGATTGAATATTCGTTAGGATTTCGCACATTAGTGTTAAAAGAAACACCTGCTGCTTTTAAAGAATAGTTCAGCTTCATTGCATTGTTGTTTTAATAATATTTTTAGTATTTTCATTTAATTTTCATCTCAATATACATATATATCACATATAATATAATATATATATATAGTTGTTATTTTTTTTTTATTTTTTTTTTTTGCTGTCAAACACAATACATACAATTTATTCATGCTAGTCTATATATAAGTGCCATGATGCTTCAATGATTTAGATCAGATATTTAAGAAACGTGAAAAGGAGAAAATTCTAGCAAAAGGGCACAAATACCCGAAATCGAAAAGGCGCTAAAGGCTTAAAAAAGCCTCGATAATTTTTAAATAAGCATATCCCAGCGGACCGTTGTACTTAAATTACATGGTAATCGCTTTAGAGTGAGCCTTAGATACTCACTCACTCGTTATCTGCCACACGAATTAGAAATTTTGATAATTGATCGCGAGTTGATTCATCTTCTAGATAATCTATATTGTTGGTTGTCCGTCTCCAAACTTCATCAAACCGTAGTCATCTACATTATCTTTCTGTGAGAATTCCGGCACGGACGGACGGATTAAACTAAATCAACTTCGAATCTTCCTCTATATAGTGAGTCTTAAGTATCTGTCTCTATCTGTTAGAAATTTTGATAATTAATCGCAAGTTAATTCAACCTCTAGATAGTAATCTGGCAAATATTTGCATCAATTTGTAGATCAATCTCACCTACAGAGTATAGGTTCTATATATATATTTGGTTGGTTATTTGTGATACAATATCCTTCTGTAAGAATTTCGGCAACAAATGACGGACGATTGGACGGATTAAACTTTAATCAACTTCGAGTCTTACTCTATATACCTATCTGTTATTGGTCTTCCAACCCCCCACATTCTTGAGCAATGAGTGTAAGAATGCATATAGGAAACTTGCAAGAATCGTAACTGCCAAATGATTTTTTTAGCATAGATATATATTCGCCTTATCCCTGATCTCAGGTTTTCCTTTATAAATTAAATTTATTGGTAGTTATTACAATTTGATCGTATTCGATATTCGTGCAATTTCATTAGAATTTTAACATTTTTTTTCAATACGAAAAAAAAAAAATATGTCTCCCCTTCTCGGCCCTCTTATATATGTTATACTTTTCATAAATACTCTCAATGTAGACACGATCTTTGTTGAAAATAGACAAAATGCATACACATACACACACACACCTACATAAATCAAAAATATTCGAATGGTGAACGATAAGAGAGGGGAAACAGCAAGAAGCGGAGCAATCCATGGCAGCGTTAAAGCATCGCTATGAATGAAGAGAAATAGTTTTGTAAATATTTTCTAAAAAATTTTCTCACATAATGCGGAAATCTTCTATTTAACATTAAGAATTATAATCAAGTGCCAACTGTGCCACCCTGTGAAAACGTTGACTATTAAATATTTATTAGATATAAAAGAACATTTAGTAAAACTATACAAGTATGGCCAATCAACAAGCTCCGTGGCCTGTACGCAAAGGTATATTTCGGTCAAGTGGTCAATCCGACTTTAAGCCGACACGTTCGCCGAGTCCTATCATAGAAATGCCGACTTCACCACCACCGATAACATCGCCGGCCATTAATCGTTCTTCTCCCAATTGTCCGTTATCACCGCCACCACAGCCTATACAAGTATTGCAAGGCCCTGCGGGACCGACGATTGGTTCAATTACCCAAACTTCGGCTACTACGACCCAAACATCTTCCACGCGACGAATGTCCGCATCTGCAACTACAACTTCGTCATCGACTAGACGCAGCGTACGGAAAAATTCCACTCCCACTTTGCACATTAACGCTATAACTAGCAGTAATACACTTAACTCGCCGACATCTACTTTACTGCAAACTGCAAATTTAAAAAATGTTCGAGAAATTCCCATTGAGGTTGAACAGAAAGAGGTATACTAGAATGTCGTCATCAAGCACAAACAAAAGCATATTGATTTTACATAATAGTTATTTAAGTAATGATTCCTTTAATTAATTTTACATTGTTTTTTGCGTGTATTTACAGGAGGCCTTGTCTCTGCGTACCGGCGATGTCACCCAACAGGCCAGCAATAATGTAGCAGCCGCTAGTATTAAAGTTCAAAGCGATACTTTTTCAGCTGACAAGAAGGCCATCGCTCATTCTCAGCAATCACAGACAATAACTTCGAATGGTATTATCAGTCAGGAGAAGCATATATCGTCCGCGTCTCAATCGAATTATACGGTGAGTCATAAAGGCGTCTCTAGCACGGCCAGTAGTATGATTTCGTCGTCTTCACAAATGTCCGCCACTAATGGACATTTTTTTAAGTTATCCGATTTCAAGCTCGACGATCTAATGTCTTTAAATTCGACAAGTGGGCAAAAAGAAATCGAGCAAGCCATTGCCAAATATTCAAATATGTTAACGTCTTGTGTAAATTCATTGCAAGAGAGAAGAACCGTCTCGGAAGAGACACTTTATTTGGAAAAAATTAATGAAGTTATACGTAGAGCTTGGGCTGTACCAACACACGGCCATGAATTGGGTTACAGTTTATGTGATAGCCTACGGAAAAGTGGTGGCCTAGACTTGCTTATGCACAATTGCGTACAAAATGATATGCAAATTCAATTTTCGTCCGCAAAATTATTAGAACAATGTTTGACCACCGAAAATCGTACGCACGTGGTAGATCATGGCTTAGATAAGGTGGTGAATGTCGCCTGCGTATGTACTAAAAACAATCAGCATTCTCGCGTTGGCACTGGTATTTTGGAGCACCTATTTAAGCATTCGGAAGGCACTTGCTCGGATGTTATTAAATTAGGAGGATTGGATGCTGTACTCTTCGAGTGCCGCACTAGTGACGTTGAGACACTCAGACATTGCGCCAGTGCTTTGGCGAATCTATCTTTATATGGCGGCGCTGAAAATCAGGAAGCCATGATTTTGCGTAAAGTGCCTATGTGGCTATTTCATTTGGCTTTCCACACCGACGATAATATTAAGTATTACGCGTGCCTAGCTATTGCGGTTCTAGTCGCTAATAAGGAGATTGAGGCTGAGGTATTAAAGTCAGGCTGTTTAGATTTAGTCGAACCATTTGTTACCTCGCACGACCCATCCGAATTTGCCAAATCGAATTTGGCTCATGCCCATGGCCAAAGTAAGCATTGGCTACAACGTCTCGTTCCTGTGTTAAGCTCAAATCGGGAAGAAGCTCGTAATTTGGCGGCATTTCACTTTTGCATGGAAGCCGGCATTAAACGGGAGCAAGGAAATACGGAAATCTTTCGCGAAATCGGGGCTATTGAAGCGCTTAAAACTGTAGCCAGTTGCCCGAATGCTATTGCTTCTAAATTTGCTGCTCAAGCTTTGCGTCTGATCGGCGAAACAGTGCCGCATAAATTGTCCCAACAAGTGCCTCTCTGGTCCGTCGAAGACGTCCAGGAATGGGTAAAACAAATAGGTTTCGGGCAATTCGTTAAACAATTCGAAGAATCCCAAGTAGACGGAGACCTCTTACTTAAACTTAACGAAGAAAATCTCCGTGACGATATTGGCATCGCAAACGGCATCCTGCTTAAACGTTTCGAGCGCGAATTGCAAAATTTGAAACGTATGGCTGATTACTCGTCAAAAGATACCGCCAAGCTGCATCAATTTTTGGCAGAGATCGGCTCCGAATATTGTACTTACACTTATTCAATGTTAAATGCGGGTATAGACAAAACCTCATTACCCCATTTGAATGAGGATATGCTTATAGCTGAGTGCAGTATAAAAAATTCAATACATAGACTGCGCATTCTGAATGCGGTAAAAAGCTTGGAAAATTCTCTTATCAGCTCGACAGATGATAACGTAATTAAAACTTTGGACGTTTTCGTAAGCTATAGGCGTTCGAATGGCTCCCAATTGGCCAGCTTATTGAAGGTATATAAGATCAAATAAATATCGAATTATAAGAGATAAGGGATTTTTATTAACTTGAAATGATTTATAATCCGTCCGTAGGTACATCTACAATTACGTGGCTTCTCCGTATTCATTGATGTTGAACGTTTGGAGGCTGGAAAGTTTGATAACGGTTTACTGAACAGTATTCGTCAGGCGAAAAATTTTGTCTTAGTATTAACGCCTAATGCTCTGGAACGTTGTGTTGATGACAACGACTGCAAAGATTGGGTGCACAGGGTATGTTAAAATCACGGCATAATCGAACAATAGAACGATAGCGGTATATAATGTAAGAGTTTGTAAAATTACAGGAAATTGTGGCCGCCTTGAATTCAAGCTGTAACATTATACCGATAATTGATAGTCAGTTTTATTGGCCGGAACCGGAAAGATTACCCGAAGATATGCGTAGCGTTTGTCATTTTAATGGGGTTACTTGGATTCATGATTACCAGGACGCCTGTATCGACAAACTGGAAAGGTATATTATACCGCTAATTATATATATATTTATATATATATATATATATATATATATAGGATAAGCTTCAGAACTATTAATGCTAATATTTTGTAGATTTATGCGTGGTGAAAAGAATATCGATCGTATAACTGCCATGACACCGGGTACGCCTAGCTCAGCAGTTAGCTACCAGAGAATGCATAGCAACGATTCGGATTATAATGTAGGAGGCAGTAATGCGGGCACAACTGGCGGAAATAGTAGCAATGGCGGAGCAACAAATGGCGGCGGACAAGGTGGGACACAAAATTCAACAATTTCAACAAATACGGGACGATCCAGTGTCGATTGACTGGATTGTCTCCATTTTAAATCTCATACTTCGAATAATATTATTGATAACTTTAGTGATCATAATAACTTTAGTAGAAATTTTGAAACTCTTACTTCTCCAACCAATATTCTCAAATCGAAATTTAAAGCTAAATTTTTTAATCGCAAGCATACGTCGTGGCGTATGCGCTCTAGCGGTAGCGGTAGTTGTAGCAATCGTAGTTCACCTTATTTTTATTATTTAAATATTAGAAATTCAAAAACCCTACAAAGAACACTTACTGATGATAATCATTTAATTACTACTACTAATCACAAATTAGCAGCTAATCACCAGGCAAATAGATACCGCACCTCATCGTCACCGGCACGCCAACGTCTAGGATCGAATAGTAGCACAATGTTTAACAGCACCGGAAAATTGGGCAGCGCCGGCAGTCAATTGAGTGTTTTCGGACGTGGATCCAAGCGTAATATGTTACCGCCATATAGAACGCAGCAACCGATAGCGCACAGAACTTTGCCTATTGGCGGCTCCATGCAAAATATGTCACCTTTAGCCTATAAACCGCCCAGACGTAGTTCGGAAGTAGCAATGGCTAGCGAGAATAGTAAGAATAAGCCGTCGTCTAACTATCGCAGCCATAGTGTGGACGGTCTATTAGACAATAATGAATCTACAGAGGTAAAAGTAGCCGAAGCAGCAGCCTTAGTTACAGCCGGTAGCATGGCTCTAACAAATGCCAGTTCAACCAGTACATTGCAACCTGCTGAAGATAGCAATTGCTCAATAGAGTCATTGAACGTTACACGTGAGCAACAGATGGACACGGTTAAGAAGCGCGAAAAGTCTGCGAATTTACCGCCCGTCAATCCACAACACAGAAAATCACGAAGTCTCGATCACTTTTTAGATGAACAAGCGTTAGCAGCAATTGTTGCGCCTCCTTCACCCACAGAAGAAACGCAAAGCATGCAAAACCTGGCAACACCCATGACTCCAGAACCTTCTCGTTCATTATCAAATAAAACGACAATAAATGGCTTACCACCACGAGCTTCTTCGGTAAGAGATTCAAAATCATTGACACCGGAACGAGTAGCAACTTTACGTGGAAGCCCATTAAATAGGCAAAGTCCAGAAGGTGTTAGTTCGCCGGAAGATGAACATGAGGACAATCAGAGTATGAAGAGTGTAGCATCTCAGAAGGGTGACATTGCATCCGGTACAGTAAAAAATCAAACACGAGCTGCAGCCCATGTGCACCGAGGCAATTCAATGGCCAACAGTTGGAATGGGGGAGGAGGTGGAGATCAGAGTAGCCATAGACAAAAAGGCTGTTATGGCCATGCAACGAGGACTACCTCCAACAGTTCTTTGACTTCAAATAATACGGCCGGGGGAGCGGCTGGCCAAACGAATCCGAATAACAAAACAATATTTAATCGTACTATGAAAAAAGTGCGATCGCTCATCAAAAAGTAAGCATCAAAAGTTATACACAAATACATACATACATACATACATACATGCATACATATATAAAAAATATATGCACATACACACCAACCATACGATGCGATCTATCTCGCTCTTTCTCTCTCTCTCTCTCTCTCTCTCTCTCTCTCTCTCTCTCTCTCTCTCTCTCTCT